CGCATATATCCCTAATATGACCATCATTATCCCTTATAGCCCCTATTACGAGCTTTGACCGATACGCTTCGACAAACAGAGCAGAAAGCCCCCCAACCCATCCCTTGCCCCAGCACCTAGACCCTAGAAATATTGCAGAACCCTGCAGATTGGATGAAACTCTACAACTCCTCAAACCTCATAATCCCAATCCAAATTGCACAAGCCAGAACCCTTAAAGCTTCCTTACTTTTTGGCAGCCTGCAGAACACCTCATTTGTAACCACGTAGACTGCCGTAGAAGCCTGGTGGGATTTATATACACATAGAAATTTGTACATAGACACTCTTGTCTTTGTTTGCCTTCACTCACAATAATATGGTAAACAATGGCGATCCCTTGTAAGGGAAATTTCATCTTAGCTGCTCCTTGAGAGCAATCTAGTTTGTTTTGGAATCGCACTGGGCCTGTCGTCCGCCGTGAGAATCGCTTTCCGGCTCTCCTGGCCCGAGTCCAGCAGGCCGCGCAGGACCTCTCGGTGAAGATGTCCTGGTAGGAACTTACTAGGTTGCTGTTAAGGAGTTTGAATTTAAGTTACCATAATAGGGGTACACAGCCAATAATCGAGTTTCCTAACTTTGGTAACTTAACTTCCTTAACAGCAACCCAGATTAACTGCGGGTTTCGGATGTCAGGATTTGTGTTTGTGGCCTAGGTTGTTGAGATAGAAGCTTCAAGGCTTCGTATCAAAAACAGCCATGGTTCGGCACCGAATGTATACCAAGGATACCTCCAGGTGGCTAGTTACCAGGTGGTACCCCATATCAGGCTCATATAAGGCTCGTAACCCTAAACCCTGAACCCCAAACCCTAAACCCATGTGAAGGTACCATCGTTCACATGGTGCATGATGTAGTCAGCTTCATCAAAATTTCTGGATCCCGCAAGCGCACACCCAAGCAAAGCCTGACACCTGCAATCTTCCGTAATTCTGGTCTGCTTAGCAAGCAGGTAGGTAGACTTTACACCTTATTGGCAAGCCCGAAACTCTAAGCCCTAAACTCTACACCCTCTCTTCTGTTGGTACCAAGCACAGAGCCGGCCGTCATCAATGAGATAAGCGACGCCGGCTTCGTCTCAATCCCGCCAGAACGGCCAGACATTTCTTCATGACCTCGCCGACGGCTTCTGCTGTGAAAGGCCTGAGCTCTGGCTTTCAGGGCTTGAATCAAGCTTCAAGTCTAGAGGCTTGGAATTTAGTTTTCAACGGCTTCGAACTAGAATGTGCCCATGACTGTGACCTGCTTGCTGAATGGGTTGCGGTCAAGCATTGCACCCGCTAGCAACTAAATCGAAAAAAGAGCAAGGCAACATAACCAGCCTGTAACCTTGCAACGCGGGCTACCCTGCAACTCCAAAGCAACAGCGAGATACTAAACTTCACTAAGCCAAGCTATAGCAAAAACAGCAGTTGGTTGGGGGTTGATGTGGCACTACAGGTGCGTGAAGCTGGAAAGCGCACATTGGGCCCACGCCTGGATCGACCTCATGGAAAGCTGCTGCTGCGGAGGACGCTGGTCGCGCGGCAACAGCAAATGCTGGCCGGCTGCTTTGCAGAAGTCCTGTGGAGCTGCCAGTAGGAGCAAGTGGCCGCAACTGTAGTAGGCACAGTTGTCAGGGTATGATGATTTGCAATACCCTCTCAGCGAGTGGAGGCGAGGCCGCCACAAAGGCTTTACATTTCGCAAACCAGGGCTTGCGTCGGGCTTTGAATCCAGAGGCTTGGAATTTAGTTTTCAACGGCTTCGAACTAGAACGTGCCCATGACTGTGGTGTGGATAAACACTCGACGTTGACCTGCTTGCTGAATGGGTTGTGGTCAAGCATTGCACCCCCTAGCAACTAAATCGAAAAAAGAGCAAGGCAACATAACCAGCCTGTAACCTTGCAACGCGGGCTACCCTGCAACTCCAAAGCAACAGCGAGATACTAAACTTCACTAAGCCAAGCTACAGCAAAAACAGCAGTTGGTTGGGGGTTGATGTGGCACTACAGGTGCGTGAAGCAGAAAAACCCTAAAGCCTAAACCCTAATTGTGCCCGCGCCTCCTCTTCGATGATGTCCTGAGGATCAACTTGAATTGGTTTGCTGTTAGGAACTCAAAAAAGATTCTATAAGACTGCAAGGAAACCTCATTTTCTACTATATACCACATATGGTAACTTAATATGAATTCCTTAACAGCAACCCAGTAGACAGAAGCCTCTGGAACGCAAATCACAGGCCTTGTTTCGAAGTTTCTGCTCCTAACGTCTCAAAAGAGTGTGCTGCGTATTGCGTTGAATATTTCAGGCCTTCCATCAACAGGAGCCCCAGTATAGACCCAAATACACTTGCCACATCCAGCCCAGGGCTGTAGAACCCTCTCATTTTCCCCGAATCCCTCAGACCGCCATCACAGCTGACCAACCACCCCCCAAAATGCTACAGCTCTCACATGCCAGGCGGTGCGTCGTCGTTCCTTCCAGGCATAGGAGTGTATCCATGATTCAGAAGAACTTCTCTTTCCGTGGTCTGCCCCACAACAGCCGAGGCGTCGCGCGCGCAAGCTTTTACACTTAGAGTCCTTGTTACAGCTAGTCCCAAAAAAACAACCAGATTTGACCAGAAAGCGAGCAGCTGGACCTGAGATCGAAAAGTTTACAAGGGACGGCAATGCTCATAGCTGCTTGGTGATTGCAGATCGTACCCCCCTCAAGGTACTGCAAGTGCCACGTAGAGATGGAACATGATGTCACCAAGTGGGACGAGCCGCGATGAACGTGTAGCGGTACTTCAGAGTCAGACGCCTCAGATGCACTGTGGAAAACCTGACCAATAATCTGAATCTGTTCACGGTCACAATTCCCAAGACACTCGGGTGCGTCAAGCAAAGCCAGCTAGCTCAACTTCTGGTCTGACTTCGCACTCAACGGTCGTGACTGAGCTAGGTACTTGCTTTCTGCAGCCTCTTCAGGCCAAACGCGCGCTCTGTTGTTCTCATCCTCGAAGCAGGCGGGGATCAATGATTCGGCTGAAGCTCACATTCACGCTAAGTCTCACCCTAGCTCAGACATCTTGGCAATCACAGCTTGAGGGTGGAACATGCGTGCTGCCCAACCTTGCACGCGCTCCACGGAAGCCATGTGGGGACAAGGTGCCACGCAGTGAACTTTAGCTCCGAAAACTTCATATCCTCTAAACGCTTCATCCCAACCTCTGAGGAAACACCTCATAAATGTCACACCCGTCCCGGCATTTACTGATTCACTTTGTAACAGGCGAAGTCAACCATCTGGGAAACATGAATGGAGCCTCATTAACTCCCGTCCAAACCTACCAGATAATAGGTATGTTATGGCATGTCTGGCTTATTCATGGAAGGTCGACTGCAACAGGTGAAGAGCTCTCCGAATTTTGGAAATGCTTCTGTTTAGGCTATGGCTGCTAGGAATTCGGCAGGAACCTACCATGTTCATGATCTCCTATATGAGGATTGCTTAAATTTTGTTGCTTACAAGCAATCCGATCATTTCTGGCAAAGCCCTTCGGTAACTGGGTTGCTGTTAAAGAACTTAATTCAAGTTACTATGTTGGTGGAAACCCTACTACTTGCTATATATACATATATACCCATTCTCGTAACTTAATTTAAGTTCCTTAACAGCAATCCAGTCAAAGATCACTGGCCTCTCGGCCGCTGTGAGAATTGTGGGCAGGCTGCCCTGGCCAGAGTCCAGATGGCTTGAGACCTCTTGCTGAAGATGTCCTGGTAGGATTTAACACCCCGTCGCGGAGTTCCCCAAGGCTAAAATGGGTTTTACACTGCTTAACATAAAGAAGAAATGAAGAAGTATCGGAATCCAATCAGTGAAGAGTGTCCGTACACTTTAGCTCAACAGCTCGGCAACCTAACCTAAGCCCAAAACCCTCATCTTGGCTTCCGAAACCCAAAGGCTTAAACCCAAACAGTTTAGGACTTAGTGTTCAGGGGTTTGGGGTTTAGGACACTAAGCTAAACATCCGGTATTCTCCTCGTACCAGAAGACCCGAAATCTGGAAAATCGGGAAACTTGAAGAGCGACATGCCAGAAGCAGCCTCCGCAGATGCCACTGATGGCAACAAATCAGCTCTTTGTTCTATTCCTAGCCCTTGAAGAGAGTCGGGCTTACCCAGATTTACTAATGGACGTGGGTTCCTTATTAAGGACTTATTGGGGACTATACACTTGACCTCTTGATTCTAGTAGGGCTCCAGAGGCTTGATGATTCAAAAAATACCAAACCCTCAACCGCGTAGAATTCATGCCCTAAACCCTAAACCCTAGCGTACGCAGTGGTGAGCAGCTTCGGGGCAAGGTTTTGCCGCATGATTGCGGTGCGGATAGGCGCTCGGCCACCAGTAAGCTCATCTCGAAGGTGTTAAGTCGAAAAGAGGTATTCCAGGGACTCTTACACCGGAACGTGACAGCGCCAAAAGCAAAACCCTGGGACCGCGAAAACCCCGCCAAGAGGCGAGCCTGCAGCGGGCCCGTAGTTGGATTCTAGAGTAGATAGAGAAGTGGGAATTTAGGGCGTCAGCCCGAAACCCGGATGCCTGCATAAGCAGGGGGTGGGAAGAACAAACCAACACACCAACTCTTGGTTCGAGCACGAGAGACGAGCCGTCGCAGGATATGCCGCCCGCCCGAAAGTACAAATGCAACAAGCCCATTTCAGTTTCTTAACCGCTACCTTGCCTAGAAAGCCCCAAACTCACCCAAATACGTGTCCAGAAGAAACGTACCAGCAAGATCTGTCATAGATTGACCTTCTCCAAGGCACTCATACTCATGGACCAACATTTCGGAGCTCTCCGGGCATCCTGCCTGAGCCTGCAAGGGCTGCGTAGCGGAAAGAACCTGTGCAGCGGGAGTTTTCAGGACGGTTCCAGTCCCACCCTCTTTGGAGAAGAAAACTCATGGCTGCGCTGCCTTGCGACTCTTCCGCCACAGAGCTTTCTTTACAGCAGCCAGACGGCGAAGCTCCCTAGCTTCTTCATTATCCGCGAGCGCCCATTCGCCTTCGGCGATGACCTTGCACAGCACTTTGTTGTGACCCCATTTCGTGAGGCCGTCCCCCACAATCTCGGACCCCGGGACCCAGCGGATGAAGCAGCCCACATCTGCCTCCAACACAGCTTGACGAAGAACTGCCACATCCACCGCAATCTTCCGGTCGCTTGGCAAAGTCTCGCTCGACACAGCGTCATACCCTGTCTTGGCGTCCGTGGCAAGGACTGTCTCCATTGGGCCACATGAGCCCTCCATCGTTGGACCTCAAAGCGCGAGTCCAACAACTCTGCCAGCACTGCCCGCACAAAGTCACCGTGCTCATACGCAGTCGCCAACGAGGAGATCTCTGCCGACATCGAGCACCGAACCACACGATGAACTTTGGTGCTGTTGCCTTCCAAAATGCACACTGGGCCGCGACCATTCAGGACCTTCGGGTGACCCATCATCACCAGATTGCCCCCTTGGCTATGGCCTCCCGGCATGGCTCCATAGGCAGCATCGCTCACAGAGATGAGGATCATGTCCTCCAAGAAACAGCCGAAGTTCCTCACCCGGAAGTTCAAGGGCTCACGAGCGCGCTTCACCGCCAAGTTGAGCCACTTCAAAGCCTCCGGTCTTCCGCGGCCCGCAAGCTGTTGCACCAAGGAAGCCACATACGCCAAGTCGTAGCGGCCCTGACGAGCTGCCCAGTTGCGTTGTCCCACGATGGAGCTGATGACCTTCTTCTCCGCATCCGTGAGAGGCACCACATTTGCTGGCAATTGCCCTACGCGCTCTTGCAAGTAGCCCCACAGGTCGGAGTCTTGTTCAGCTGGCCCATCTATCCAAACACCGTCTTGGGATGATGGTCCATCCGGTGAACTCGCCAAGGGAGAAGACCTGGGGGTCGCGCAAGAAGCAGCGGTGGATGCTGTAGACGCCGCCGTACACTGAGTACCCGAGCCATCCGGTGGACTTGCCAAAGGAGAAGACCTGGGGGTCGTGGAAGAAGCAGTGGTGGATGCTGTAGACGCCGAAGAAGACAGGGCCGAAGGCCGTGTGCGAGCCAAGGGGATACCCTTGATGTACTCATCCATCGAGTACTCCATCTCCAGGGTATCGGGATCTTGACGTTCCCAGCGCCCACAAAACTTGACCCAACCATCTGTGGCCTTCCGCTGCTTCCCAAACTTCAGCCTCGCACGAAGCTGATCCCAGATCACTTGGGCCGTCTCGTCCCCGGCATACCTCGTATCATCAACATGGATGCTCGCCATCGCCCGAACTCTTCTGCGAGGAGGAGGGTGAAAGGCTCGAAAAACTCCAGGAAGCAAACTCATCTCGTAGAGCCCGAGGTCCTGGATGGTGTCCTTGTACTCCAGGTACCAAAGCCGGGGACTTTCAGGCAAACCAAAACCGCCTTTGGGCAATTCGACCAAATCATCACGCACATCGCTGCCAAGCTCGGAGACCAAGTAGTCAATGATCTCCTGGGGATATGCACGAGGCACCTTGACATAGATCCGCTCCTTTCTTGGGAGCTCTTTTCCTTGAAGAAAGGCTGCGCTCACATCCTCGAAGTGAACCTCCCAGTTTTCTTGCACCGCGACAAAGTTGATCAAGTTGTGACCCAAGATGCTCGCTGTCGGTGATGACGTGTCATACAAGCCAGCATCCGGATCGCGGTGTCCACCGAAGATCCACCTGGCCTTCAACTCCGCATCGGAGAGCGTAGGCCCGCCCTTGTTGGTAAGGACGAACCTCGAGCCCAACACCCGGGCAGGGTCCACCATCTGGCCCTTGGGAACGCCTTTGATGCCGCTGTGCTCGAGGTAGACGCCAATGGCCTTCTTGAGCGGCTCGATGTAGCCGCGACGCCACTCATCATCCAACTTGGACCACTGGTATTCAGCCCGTGCCCGGCCGGTAACCACCTCCGTGACACCCTCCATCTCGGCGCGGTGCAAAGTGGCGCTCACCTCGTAGATCTCGGATGCGCCAGACCAAAGCGAGGCCCCCGTCCACAAAGTCCACTGCCCAATGGTGTCATTGATCAGCGCCTCGAACTCGCCAGGCTTGAAGTAGGGAATGAGGACATCGCCTGTCGCTGCCAGCACATCCACAGTAGCAACCTGCGAAGCTCTGCCGCCTCCTTGTCCACGAGCTTGGCGACCTTGCTTCTGCTGCTCATCCTTGCCCTTGCGGCGGATGACCTTCCGCACCGAACGAACCTTGGCATAGGCCTGCTCCATGCGGTTGCGCAACTCGCCCTCCTGCAGCTTGGTCGGGGCACCGCAAGTCTTGGAGAGCGACTCAAACATCTTCTGCTTCTTGGCGAAGTCCAGGGCATGGGGATCCATGGTCGCTTCCTCCTCACGCTTCCGCCGTTCGGCCAAGTTGCGCTGAACCGAACAAGGGACATCTTCAAGAAGCTTGGCCCGGCGTTCCTTGGCATCGGCCTCCTCATCCACCTCGGAGCCATCGGCACTGCTGTCCGTCGAGCTGTCCTCGGCGCTCCCCTCCTCAAAGTCAACGATGACCTTGCGTCGCTTGGCCTGAGAGGAGGATCCAGCAGGTTGGTCTTGGCTTCCGTTCCCCTTATTCAAGCTTGCCTCCATGTCCTTGAGGGCGTCCGTGATGAACTGGGAGCTGGTCATCTCGTCGTCTGGGGTGGCCAGGCGCACCTTCTCGAGGGGAAAGGCCTTGACTCGTCCACGAATCCGGACCCAAAGCCTGCGAGGGATGGAGTGGTCCCGCTCAACGCACACCACAACGCCTGGTCCTGTCCAGCCGGAGTTGTCCGGCAAGCAACGTGCCAAGCCTCTTCGAGAAGGAGGTGGTTCGTACATGTACACGACGGTCCCCTCCTTGATCGCCTCAAGAGCGGGTGGTCGGGACCTTGAGGACAGAGCTTTGCGTAGAGCAGTGTGTGCATCTAACCAATGAAACGCAGCAATGGCCCCGGCACGTATCCTCTCAGCGCGAGCGAGGGCGTCGTTGTGGGTCAGCTCATCGTTGTAGCGGAACCTCACTCTCCCACTGGCCAGCTGTTCCATCAAGGAGGCAGGCAGCATACTGTTGCGGCCTGTGACAGCTTGCAGCGGAGAGACCCCTCTGCGGTTAAAGGTCCTGTTTTTTGCAGCAAAAGCCGCCAAAGCAGCCCGCCTCATCTCTTCCAATGAGGACGTCCGGGGGGCCGAAGACAGCGTACCACAGATCCTGCAGAACCTCCTTCGCAAAGCCCGAAGCCGCGGTATCCGTGAGGTCGCCCACATGGTAGTCGGTCAACCCGTCAATGAAGTGCGTCACCAAGAACTTCTTGTTCGTGGCATCCCAGATGTAGAAGGAGTCGCCCGAGATTCGCTCATTGAACTGCTTGGGCTTCTGGTAGGCGACCTGAGGGGTAGGACCTGGCGGGCGTACCATAGAACACACTTGGCAGCGCAGCTTCCGCGCCAACTCCACCACGTTGTTCTGAGCCCCACTCAGGATGAACATCCTCGCCAGGCGGTCGTTGGAAAGATGACCCAAAGTCACATGGAGATGAGCCACCATGGCCCTGAGGCGCCGAGGTTGCTGAGCTGCTTCACCACATAGTCGTAGCGTTCCCCGGTCATGGCGTTCTCGTTCATCTGCTGCCGCAAGGCTTCCTCAGGAAAAGATGCACTGCTGACCGGCACTGTCTCCCAGCTGTGGCCACCAGTTGCCGCCACCAAGGACCAGGAGGAAGAAGAGGGAGGCACCGTCCGGCTCCTCAGGGAAGCTTCTGCCGACTCCAAGATGCGCTCGCACAGCTTTGGGGGCCAAGCCACTGCGGCCTCCGAACCTGTCCGTTGACCTTACATGACCCCTCAATGGGCTGGTGCTCACCTGGTCCACACTTGCAGTAAGCCCCACCAAGAAGCCGAGCAGCCATCACTGAGCAGTTGACGTGCAAGGAGGTGAGCTTCTGGTGCGGCTTGCCACTCTCCAGGTCCTTCAGCCCAAAAGCACACTGCGCCACCACGGCCTTGACCACGTCTGGCCGCGAGGTCATGTACTGCAACTTGAGGGCTTCAGAGCGAGCCGGTTGCTCCAACAACAACAAGCGTCTTTCTTCACATTGTCGGCGCCAAATGTCCCCCGACAGCTTCCAGAAGGGGAGATGAAGCCGCCTCTTCTCCATCAACGCCTCCAAGTCCTTACACAACTGAGTCCAAGAACTCCACGGACCGCAGGGAGGCGCCAATGTCACGAGGTCGGGCTTGGTGGTGTCAATCAACTCAAGCAGCTCCTTGCGCTTGGTCTCCTGGGTCAAGTCCCAGCCGTTCAGGATGTCGATGGGTTCAAGGGCCTTCCATCGGGGATGAGTACAGGAAGTTAGCCGTGACTTGCCGGCAAACACCTCCAGGAGCACCCACTTGCCATCGTCACCTCTGGCTCGATCAAAGACCTCCAGAGTTGCCAAAGCTGACTTCACTCCCGCCTTCAGCCGCTGCACATCACCGCGGTTCAAGCGTCGAACCCTCACATCATCCGCAGCATCTCGGGAGCCTGCAGCTTCTGCCTCATCGCCCCGAAGTGGCCGAAGAGGAACGCCACCTCCTTGCCCAAGAGCTGGTTCAGCCATCGAGGGTTCCTCTTCCAGCGCCGATCGCCCTCTTTCTCGACCACCTTCTTGATCCGGACCATCCAGACCATCTTCTTCCAGCACCAAGTCCTCATTCGGCTTGTCGTCGACGCCGCAATGTTCAGGCCCAGCTCGTAGCTCCAGAGGTTGCTCAAGGATGGATAATCCGCGCGCTGGCCCGTCAAGGCCTTCACCTCCTGAGCTTTGGCCTTGCTGGCCCTCTGCTTCTCGCGCCTCTTGCCGATCAAAGCCGCCTCCTCCGGAGTCAGGCCTGGAATGTCGGGGACATCGGGCGTTGCCGTCGAAGAGGTCCCCGGGGTCTCCGTAGTCGAAGGTGTCGAGGAAGTGGTCGCCGGTCGCCTCTTGGGCTTGGCCGCTCCTGCGGTCGTGGCTCTTGCAAATGCGGCATAGAGGAGGATTCGGAGGCACAGACATTGCGTGTCGGGTGATTGCCAGGGGAGGGGCAAGACATCTGAGCACTGAAAATCTGAGGATCCACCGCTTCAATGTCTCGACCTGCTGGCAAACGGTAATCTCCAGGCAGCACTGCAAAGCCGGGCTCACACTCATCAACTGCCATGGTGTAATGGCCACTATCCCGACCTACACCGTACAGCTTCACCCCCAGCTTCCCCGCACTGACACAGTGATGCTCACAGTCTATGACCGCCCCAATCTGAGTACATCCCGATCTCGAAAACAGTGGAGGACAACAACCCTCGACCACGCTGAAATCATACACCACCGGCTTGCCAGCGAAGGTGCCCAAGAACTCGACACGAAACTTGCTCCACAAAACCTCCCCATCTCCGAACTTAAAGGCTTCATGTTCCTCAAAGACTCTGCACCACCTGCCTTCCGACTGCCACCTCCTCAACAGACTGTTAGTCCACTCAAGACCCGCCACGGACCGCACGCAACCTATGTCCAAAATAACTTTGAAAGCCAGCTCCTTCATGGACCACATGACTTCACTCAAGGCGGCGGCTACTGCTCCAAAAACCCGGTGCACTCCTGAAACCCCCTTGTACTGGAATGAGGGTCGCACGCGCTCTGCTGAAGACTGAGCTGCCAAGGCTGGGTTCATTCCCGACCGGCACATCGAAAGCAAAAGATCCCACTCACTTCTCTCCGCCTTCCTCTCGTCGATAGGCTCCAGTCGGCCGCCGCTGGCCCGAGCCGCCAGGACCGGCGCAGCAGCTGCTCCACCCTTGCTCACCCCCAGCACGGCGTTGCCTCTGTTGGGGCATTCTCTGGACCAGTGGCCGCACTGGCCGCAAGCATGGCAAGGGTTCCTCTTCATCTGCTCCGCAAGGGCCTTCTTGCGCTCCTCTGACTCCGGCTTGCGGTAGTGTTGCCTCAACTTCTTGACCTCCGCGATCTTCTGCTTGGCTCGGAATTGGGTGCCATAGGCCTCGTTGACCGCAGCTTCCAATTCAGGGGGGTAGTCATCCTCGTCCAGCGACTCATCCCCGGGCTCGTCATAGTCCGTGGTCGTGTCGCCGTCGATGGCCTCCGCCGCCAAAGCCGCTCTCGGCAGCTTGTTAGCTCCAGGTCGCCCACGAAGGTCTCCACGCTGAAGCAACCACTCCTCGCCATTGCGGGCCGCGTTTGGCTCGGACGCTCCAATGGGGTAGCCCTGCTCACCTTCCAGCTCGGAGGCCAACTCGATCAGGGCATTGGTGACCGCATATTCGTCCTTCTCGCTGCCGGCCTTTGTCTTCACCATCGCCTGATCACGGCGAGTCAAGTGCGCATGATCCACTAAGTGTCCGACGTAGAAGGCCTCCCCCATCGCCATGCTGCCGTCGAGGCCAAGGAGGTGGGTCCTGTAGATGGAGGCCCGCGTCACATAGGACTCCATGGACTCACCTGGTGCCCGGTTGAGCTGCATCAAGCGGCGCCGGTGCTCATCAACGCGGCGCTTGTCGAGTTGCCGAATCAAAGGTGACCTCTCCAGCGCCTTGAAGATGATCTCCTTACCATCACAGCCATTCACATCGCTGTTGCAGAGGTGCTTGACAAGCTGGGCGGCCCGCTCCTTGAGTTGAACCATCATCCTTGGTCCAACCAGCTCAGGCGGCAACTGGCCTCCTTCGCCGCCAATCCAGAACTCAACGCTCCTCTTCCACTCCAAGTAGCTTTCCTGTGGCTTCGCCTTAAACACCGGGGGGTAGGTGTTCGAGATCTTGCCGCCCTTCTTCTCCGTGGTCTCGCCCACGGCCTTCACGGCGCCACGCTCGCCATCGCCACTCGAAGCCATGGAGGACGTTTTCGAGCCTGGTCGTCTGCATCTTCCACGTGGGAGGCCTCCGGCCTGCCATGAGTCGCCTGGAGCTGCGTACGAGCCCTCCCTCCCGTAGCCCTCCTTCCAGCTCCAGTTCTCGGCATCTCGCCTTCCCCGTCGCTGGCGCGTGAAGGGCATCTGGCGGCGGAGCCGCAATTTTTTGTGATAGAGGCGAGGGGCGCCTCCTTTTCGTGGAAGGTGGAAGGCTTGAGTCAGGGCACCTTGCTAGAAGCCTGATGGAAGACGAAGCGTTCGGGGAGACCATGGACATTGGAGAGTCAGTTTCGGGAGACTCGAGAGTGTCCGATGACCACTCAGGGGGAATCGTTGGTCGCGGCCAGGCAGCGCGGCCACTGGTGGGATCAGCAGTGGGTCTGCCTCTGGCGATGTTCCAGGAGTAGGCTGAGACGAGCCCAGCTTCGGCTCAGCCTGGGACGGCTGGGCAGAGGATGGCAGTTGGCAAGGGGCCGGTTCGGCTCCTGGCCATGCAGGTAGTTAGAATCACCTTGACCACAAAAAACACGGCTCGCCCGCCGGATGCCCTTCAGGTAGCGCCGAATCGCTATGACAAACAAGTACACCACTTCAACGCCCCAATGCGCCCTGGATCGAACCGAGGCTCCGCTGCCACCGGAACGTGACAGCGCCAAAGCAAAACCCTGGGACTCGACGGACCCTTTTTCCTTGGCACCCTGCCTGAGCCTGCAAAGGCTGCGTAGCGGAAAGAACCTGTGCAGCGGGAGTTTTCAGGACGGTTCCAGTCTTACGGGTACATATAGGATATATCACAGGTACATATCGATGCCGGGATGAAGGGCCCGTACTAGGAGAATATCTTGGATTGGAAGCAAGCTGTGTTACGGCGCGGAGCATGTGATGGCTTCGCCGAAGCCGGAGATAATGCAGGACCAGTTGCCGTACTGGGGAGGGTAAGGTCAGCCTTCAGCTCGACTCAGCAAGTTTCTTGTACTGTCTAATGGACACCCTTCGAACATTCACATGACTGCCTTAAGACCCGCATCTATCACAATGCAAGGCTGTTGTAGTCAACGAGGCAGGGCTTAGGTCCCATGGGAATCGCCTCGCGCTGTGCGAAAGAGGCGGCGCGCATAGCGGCGCGCTCAGCTGCGCGCTTCCGGCGCAGGCGGCGAGCTACGCTGGCGCTGAAGAGCGACCTGTCGCGAAGCTTGCTTGTTGAATTCTCGGGTCTCTCGACAATGATCTGCGCCTCTGCTTCTCCGTTCGATCTACCTCGCCTTCATCGCTGCAATCCTTGGCCCACCCAAATGACACAGCACAAACATCTATTTACCCGCATGTTGAAGGAACTCGTGCCTTCGGAAGCTACGAAAGGGTGGTGACGTTTTGTAGGTGTCATTTCTGCATGCATCATGATGTTCTTCCTGGGAGGTGTTGCAAATCTGAAGACGCTTCACGCGAGGGGCCCATGGTTTCAACCCAGATCATCTGCTGACCTGAGGGGTTTGTGTCCAGCAAATGAATCAAACTAGAGCAAGTCAAAATAAGCAACCTGTCAGGTTGCCACGAGGGGTACCGATGCTTTCAACGCAACACCCAGACTTTGCGCTAAACTTTACTAAGCCAACCCAAGGCAAAACAACCACCCAGAGCCATATGAGCTAAAGTCTAAACTCCTGGCATCCCTGTGAATATCCCTATAGTAGTCCCCTTTTTTTTGTCCCCTATACAACCCCGGCTGAAGGAGCTTAGCCTTTAGCTCATATCTGAATTCGCTTTGGCATGTCTAGGTGCCGCTGCAACCCACCTTGTCCAACTTCACTATTCCTGCACACAAGAGGAAGAGGCATCTTGCCCCCCCAAAATGTGCCCATTGAGTAGTTTATTTGCTGTGTTACTACCAATGCCCGATGCAGAAAAACCAAGTTCTGCCCGGCTTCTTTGCCCACCGGCAAGAACGAACGCAACCTCCTTGACGGCTGCTTTTCTTCGCAGAGGTCCTGCAAGCCAACTCAGACGGAAGCCTCTTGTAAGGGCAGGTGGCCGCACCAGTAGCACGGAGTTGGCATGATGGCTTGCAACATCTTGCCACCCATATTTAAAACAACTGAAGTTAGTGGTGGGTTTTCCATTTGCTGTTGGCTTTGAGTTCTCACACACACACACACACACACACGAAGAGCAGCACATGACAGGCCTAGGCTCCACATTTCCTGCTCCTAGCGTCTGCGAAGATTGCGTTGAACATTGCGTTGAGTATTTCGGGGCTTCCACCAATGGAGCCCGCAATGTAGACCCAAATATATCCCAATATACTTCTTATTCTCCGCCTCATCTCCCTCTCAGCCCGTCATCACAGCTGACCACCCGCCCTGGCGCTCCAGCGGTGGGCAGACTCTGAAGAGTGGCTGAACAAAATGGCCGGAGCCTTTCGTCCTACCAAAATTTACCGGGATCTTGCCTGAGTATCTCTTTAAATACAGTTCTGATAGCTCCACTGCCAGAGATGTCACTGACACGCTGCGGCCCTCACACACCGGCCAAGCGTCCTTTGCTTCCAGGCACAGGAGTCTATCAATGCTTCAGAGGAACTTCTCTTTCCGTCTTCTGCAGCCCAACAGCCCAGGCGGATCACGCGCAAGCATTTACAAGTTCAATCCGTGCTGTAGGTACTCCCAGAAAAGCTCCATAAAGCTCCCAACTTTTTGAATTCAAAATGCTTTGGGACGGCAATCCTCATATTTAATGGGTACTTCCAGGTCTTTTGACGCCTTTCAAGTGCTGCAAGTAACACTCGAAAATGGACCCTCAACCCTAAGACCCTACTCCCAAACCCTATTATAGAGGCCAGGATGGTCCAAGCAATCACTAAAATACTGGGTTGCTGTTGAGGAACTTAGACTAAGTTACTATACTGGGAAAACCCTACTAGTTACTATATACATATACATATATATATATACCCATTATGATAACTTGATTCAAGTTCTCAACAGCAACCCAGAATAAGAAGAAAGGGAGAACAAGTAGACGAGCTTCAGTTTCCTCCTGCAGCTGAAGGTGCAGGGTTTAGGGTGTCGGGTTCAGATCAAGTATATGAGGTTCCAAAACGGCAGTGGTACGTTGAGGGTTGATGGCTGATGATGTTTGATCCTAAAACCCTAGCAGGCTTGAAGTTTGAAGGCTTCGATCGGAGGATTTCTTGAGTTGAAAACTTCGACAATAGCGCATGAACTACTTAAAGAAGCTTTCGCATGAAGTCTCATTCACTCCCGACTAAAAAAACCATGTAATACCTATATTATGAAGTGTCTGGTTTATTCCGGGAAGGTTCACTGCAGCAGGTGTTGAAAACGACGAATTTCGTCCCGTGCCTCTTCCCATCGGCCAAGAAGTCGGCGCTGGGCGTCGCTCAAGAAATCAAAGGAAAGCCCCATGGACTCCATGGGGATGTAGAAGGGCCAGGTGCTGTTGAGGCGACGCCGGAAATCTGATAGTTCGAGCACAATGTCGTGATCGAGAGCGGGAATTTTCGTCCACTCTTGGTCCTCCCGGTCCTCCCGAACGGGATGTTGCTTTCGGACCTCGAAGCTTCGTCGCTGTTTCGACCAGTCCTGCAGACAGACAAACATGGAATCCGGCTCCTTCTGCTTTTAGAGCACTACTGGGACTCCAGAAAATCCAAAACAACCAGCTGACAGAGCCAAGTCAACTTCAGGCGAGAGATGTGTTTTATGGCTCACATGCTCGTTTGCTTCACCCCTCAAGTACTGAGTTCACCCAAGGCATATTGCATGCAGTGAGGCAGCAGCCCGAATTTTGCACATGCTCAATTCAGCAGCGGCCTAATTACCATGTTCATGATCTCGTGTTTCATGCCTCATTCTCTTCAGGCATATGCCCTAAATCCTGAACCCCAGACTCCCTAAACCCTAAACCTGGAGGTTTCAAGCAAGGCCTTGCTATACGCATCTCGTGTCCGAGTCGAGGCCAAAGACTCTCAGACCGAACACTCCGTAAAGGTCGCAAGTACACATTCCTGGCCTTTGGTTGGAGAGAAGGAATGGATCCTTATGGTAGTCCCTATATAACTCATTGTAATAGCAGTTTCTTTTCCATTCCATCATTCCCAGCTAACCAAGGGCCAGATTCAAGGATATCTACCACTAATCAGATAACTCTGAGTGGGACTGCAGAAGCACTTAGGGCTCTGTGGGACAGTGGCCTCTGGCCGGATGGGCAGGAGGTGGCAACGACGACAAGGTCGCCGCGTCTGTGCGTACGAATGCTGATGTCCAACGCGGCGACGACCCATGGCTGACGAAAGCGGAAAGGACTACAACTACAAGCACACAATACCAGGGTGGCAGAATGGTCTACTGCAGTCAAGTCCCAGTGCTTTCGTGTCTTAAGAGTTACTGCCCTAGGCTGCGTAGATCGACGCTGCTAGCGATGCCAGCGTGGGAATGCTCATGCCTCTTGCTTTTACACTGAGAGAAGTCGCAATCAAAGATGCCGCGTCTGCCACGGTTCAGCTTTCAGTTTAAAGCAATGTCAAGACTTCCGACTGAGCGATTCGTAGCTGCAGATGTGATTGCGGGTGAAGCTCGCTTCTGGTGGCTCAAACTGATGAGATCCTTCTCTTGGAACATAAAGTGACAAAAAGAAGAATGTAATCTTGCGCCATACCGATCGTCTACTTTATTCAATGCCGACAGTTGCAATTTCCGCGAAGCTCTCTCTGTAACACCAACAAACCGGGGCCGCGGCCTACATGCACCGACGGTACCCTCTGATTTTCAGGGAGAGCTGTCGGCGGAAGGCTCTGCAAGTGGAACTGATGTATTTCACCGCGTAACACTCAACTCTACCATGTCATATGGCACTGTTGCACAGCTCTGAGAGCACCTTCCTATTGCTGATACTAAAAGTCCTTACCTCGCTTCCCATCAAAAAGCTTTTGAAATAAAAAACTGGATTGTCAGATAAAGATCCAACCCTAAACCCTAAACCTTGAACCCTAACTAAACCCTGAACCCTCAACCCTGAATCCTAAACCTGAAACCCTAAACCCTACACCGTAAACTCTTAACCCTACACCCTGACCCTTAAACACTGAAACCTAAACCCTGAACAGCTGAGGATCCTGCTTCCATGTT